GCCTCAGCCCCACCTGACATCATCAGGTGTTAGAGTCTCATGGGAGCCCCAGGCCGTGGTGCCACAAAGGTTGGGGACCGCTGCCCTAGAGCATCAGTCACCAGCAGGGAGCACAGAGCCCAGCACAGAGCAGGTGCTCAGCGCACGGCCGTTTCCTCACGGAAGCTTCCGCCGGATGCTGGAGGCCGGTGCTCACGTGGGGGAGGGGCATTAAGTACAAGTCACATACGTGCACACGGGGTGATATGCCACGAGGAGCCCTGATCAGCACATCTGATCCTCTGGGCATCAGGAGCATGCCAGCCATGTCACGAGTGGGAATTTCAAAGAACACATCCTTAGGATGGATCACGGCCATTCAAAGCACCTAAGACCTGCGAGTGCCGGCTGCGTCTGCCGGCCTTAGACACGTGAGTGCATCTGCCAACCGCAAACCGGTCCGCAAGGACGATGACGGCTCCCTCTCCGAGAAAGAGCGAAACTGTGAAAGGTCAGAGCACGTTAATTAAAGCAGCAGAGCACTCGGTTTCCAGGGAGATCGTGGGCAGATGCCGACGTGGGAACCGGCTGTATTCCACCATGATGCAAAGAACATCCCCACTACCAACTCTGCAAGCGGCGACTTATCGTTCTCTGGTCAGTGAAGCTGCTCTGAACTCATGCAGCAAAGTCAGTGCACGTCGGGAGGGTGTGAACCACTCACAGCCACTACCAACTCTGCAAGCGGCGACTTATCGTTCGCAGCAAAGTCAGTGCACGTCAGGAGGGTGTGAACCACTCACGGCTGATGTCACAAAAATGGCGCCACCAGGGCCCCCAAGCTCAGCCCTGGCCAAACGCCAGCCTGTGTGCGGCTTCTCCCAGCTGCTCAAAGGGGCAAAGCGGCCCCTCCAAGCTTACTGAAAAGGTACCATCACCAAGCGTAAAGGGCCAGCGTGAGCTAGCGCGCCCCGTGGTCTTCCCAGCGTAACCTCGGTTTCCTGAGGGGCGATGCAGATGGCAAGGGTCTTCTTTTAACACCCTTACTTGGAACATGAAAAAGCAGAAGACTCTCCGTCAGCCTTCTACTGTTTTTTTTAAAAAACTGTGCTGACATAAAGTCCAAAGTCGGCAAACCACAGCTCTAAGATAAAGGCTTATGAGGCTCAACGAGGCCTCGGGCCCTGCTGGCGGGGAAGAGCCGTGGAGGTGGCTGCGGGCCTCCGCCGGCCGCGCCAACCACCACTGTTCCTGCTCCGACAGGCAGACGGAGTGCAGGGCTTTGAGAAGCCAGGGAACCCCTGCTCTGGGCGAGGGCTGGCCCCCCAGCTGTGGGCCTCTGCACGGCTCGGCGCTCCTCCGGCAGACTTGGCGTGGGGAGAGGGGAAACTTCCAGAGCGCCTCTCCTCGTCCCTGTGCACAGAGTGGAGAGCCGAGCTCCACTGCGACTGCCACCCGGTGGAGCCATGAGCTGCATGTCACTACTGCAGCCACTACTCCAACCTGATCACTGGCCATCCCGCTGTGTCCTCAGAGGAAAATCCTCCTGAAGATACCCGAATTCAGTCGGCTCCCAACTATTCATGCAAATGAGTGGCCCCGTGACAGAAACAAGCCAGGGACAGGCAACTCGGAAGCACCCATACTCAGCACTCAGCTACAAGCATCTTCGTTCACGCCTCTGAATACAGGGGGCCTAAATTCTAGAAATTCAAAATATTTCAAATAAGACGAGTCACGAGGACAGGAGAATGCCACCTTCCCTGCTCTGTCATCCACTCCCTTCGCACCCTTCTCGGGCTAGGCAAAGCCACCGGGCATCAGCAGGATGCAGAGCGCCAGCCGCAGCTGTTTCGGTCCCCACGAGCGGCAGCACGGCCGGGCCACGTGGACCTTTTACTTGAGGATTCGTTTCCAGCTTCAGAATGAAGACAGGGTGACGGGGGCTTCCGCGGGCAGCGCACAGTCAGGACAGTTTCCAAAGGCTACAGTAACCGCTAACACACACTCAGGGCTTCCGAGTACCAGACCTGTGTCAAACACACTAAGTATGTTCTCATTAACAGACCTACCTGGTTATATTAAAACACTGGTGACAAAGGAGTCACCATTTCTGAGCCCTAGTCATACCGAGACTACTGTACTCTGTTTATTGGAAGTTTAGGGGGAAGATAACGGATGTAATCAATTTCGACATGATTTTATTGGCAGGATATCTAAAAGCCACCCAGCGCTCTAATGCCACCAGGAAAAAGCCAAGGGGACATGAGAACTCTTGAGAAATAGTAATGACCGGTGTTCATCAAACACCAAAACCATGCCTGGCACCTGCGGGGGCTGCCTTCCAGGGCCCGGGCGGACGGCCAGCGCCGCACAGGACCAAGCCCGGTGGCTACTGGTTCCCCACGCACACAAACACCTTCTCACTAACAGGAAGCACTTCGCGGCTTCTCTTTGGCGCATCTGAATCGCCAACATCACCACACCTGCGCCTTGCAGCCACTAAGTACAACGAGGGTCACTTGAACACAAGCGCTGTGACACCATGACAGCTGATCTGATCACCAAGGCGGCTACTGAGTGACTCATGGGCAGGGAGCGTCTACAGCATGGAGATGCTGGACAAAGGGACGATTCACATCCTGGGCAGAATGGAACAGGACAGCACAAGACTGCATTACGCTACTCACAATGGTGCACAATTTAAAACTTATGAATTGTTTGTTTCTGGAACATTCCATTTAATATTTTCAGACTGCGGTTGACTGAAACCGCAGATAAGAGGAATTACTGTATTTTTTCCTGTAAGTCGCATGACAAGCATCCAAGTTTGGTCTGATTGTTTCATCTCTTTTCCAATGAGGACGCTGAGACGCTACCTGCCCGAGGTCACAGCAAGCTATGGAACCAGAACCCCTGGCCCATACACCGAAAAAGAAAGAAATCTCAAACCTGACCTGTCTTTCCCGGTGGCGTGGCTGCGCAGGAGACCTCTCCAAGCGAAAGCGAAGCCCTGGTAGCACCCGACCTGTGTGTGAATTAACAAGAGTCAGGAGTGAAATTGATAAGCAACTAGCCACACCTGATCTACCTGTCAAGCTCTCAAAACAAACGGAGGGGCGGAGAGCAGTGGCTTCTTACACTGCTGCTCTGCAAGGGCGTGTCGAGCATCAGGAAACAGAAGTTAAGAGGTCAAGTCACCAGCGGGGTAGCCGGCCTCCAAGGCCGATGGACTCCACCCAGTATCTGTGGCCTTGGACAGTCCCCTCCAACTGTCTCAGGGCGGCCAGTGTAACCAGTAAAACAGAGAGGAAGAGACAGCACATGGCTTCTGAGGCCAGGCATCACAGACGATGTCACTTGTGCTTTGCTGTCTTGGATCACTGGCTCAAGGGTCACTAGGACACTGAAACAGCCCCAAGGAGGGGTCCGCAAGGTGAGGACAGTCGTGCGAGCCGTCTTACAGTGGCTCTCTCCACACCAGTCGAGCCTTCACACGACTGCAGCCCTGGCCGACCTCGACCCCACCGTCAGGAGACCCTGGGCCAGCACCAGCCGGCTCAGCTGCTCCTGGACTCCTGACCCTCAGACTCTGGGGAGAGAATGTTTGCTGTCTCAAGCCCATGCGTTTTGTGGTGATTCACTCTGCAGCAACAGATCGCTAATACAGTCGTGACTGCCTCACACTTCGCATTTAGGGCCAGTCGTCTGTGAGGGTCGACCTAGGCCGATGGGCAGAAGAGAAAAATTATGGACTTTATGGAATTTCAACGTAAATGAAAATGAGTATTTCACGTGACACAGAGCACCCATCCTCTGGGTAAGGATTCAGCTGGCTTCAGACACGAGGCAGCACCATGATGTTCCAATGTA